GCGCGAAGCTGATGATTGGATCTCCTGGTCTGTGAGATTGCACTTTAAAGGACCTACTGAGCTATTCATCGGGAATTTTTTCAGAGAATTCAAATTCAATTCATCCTGCATGATGCTGTGGTGTGAGAAATTTCAGCGCTTGGGAATGGGCACTTTTTCAATGCAAGTTCAAAAACCATCATACCCCATCGTGTGGTGTGCTATCGTTTTTGTTTAGTACTATCAATGCACAAGCATAGGACATTTTGGATTCGATCAATTAAATTAGATATATCCAGTGGGTGAGCACTGAACGCTACACTCAAACTGAACTTGTTTTTCCAATCGCTGTGTTTTGACCAAATTATTACAAGCCATAGTTGCAGTTATCAGATATCATCGTAGGGCCCAGTGCCAGAGTAAATTGTTCGATGACCTTAAAAACGTCTGCCCGGGAGCGAGCCTTTGATGATTTTAGACTTTTCAGAAAGCTGTTTTTGTCGTTCAAGACGAAGTTTATTATTTTTATTTAGATCCACCGCAACGCACGCTGCATCCTGTCGTGGTGTATTGACCAGAATCTGGACAGATTACACATAAAAGTTATTGTGCGCTTTCAGACGCGATGAAACATAACACTGTTGCGCCCCATTCATTTCTACATTCCTTTTTACCGGAAGTGAAAAGCTTCGTTTCAAATATGGAAAACTGTATTACTTCTCAGATGCATCAGCTGCGCGCTACGAGAACAGCTTCAATTATTTCAACATTTGCTTTAAGGAGGAGGACTTAATTGTGAGGAGTGAGTGACATTATGCTGTTATATCTGATGGGAAGAGTTCTTGCGACGGGTTTGGGGACCTCGAAAAGGGCTGCCACCAGTGTCAGCCTGCCGCGCCTCGATTCTGATCACATTCTCTCTGCTGAGGAGCTATGCACATTAGTCTTTCCATTTGAAGGGAGAGGCTAATGTGCAGACGTTATGTTTCGTCGCACCAGAAGTCCTTTGGGCAGATGATGAGCTCAGCATCAGCTTGGTTGCGGCGAAGACCGTCAGAGGGGCACTGAAGGCTCACAGAGTGGCCCCAGTGAGTGTTCAGACTCTCATTGTCCGTGAGTTAGATCCAGGCATGTGAAGGGAAGAAGCGGTCGATTGATTTGAAGAGTTTTGATGAGTTAGAGTGAGTTACACTGAGTCACTGACGCACTGCGTCTACTTCCACATGCATTCGAGCCATCGTACTGTTGAGCTTCGTGTTTTCTCACAATGCGCTTATTTTCCGCCGCCCATGCGGTGAGACGCGTGGGAGATACTGCGCCAGAGCTGACGGCGGCGGGCGCGAATGAGGCGTAGTCCCTGATTGCGACATTGTTTCCAGGTCTGTGCAAGCCGAGAACCACTTTTATTTCAAGATGATTTAGTTCAATTTTTTCTCTCATGGAAAAATGGTTCTGGATACATTGCAAATATTCATAATGTTACAATTAATAGCTTTGTTCAATTGTGATTCTATCCATAACACACGCGTAGCCTGAAGGTTTTCACATCACTTGGACTTATAGGTTTATACGTTTTTTTTTTCATCGTAGTGAAAAAATCGCCGCCGAACTTGCCCTTCAATCACACAACACGAAAATACCGGAGGCTGTGATTTGTCCCAGGATTTTGCCCCAGAGTCGTTCAGCTAACGGGCCTGAAAATGTCGCAGGCATCTTCGGAGCCGCCCCGCGGCCTATTTTTATCAAAATCCGAGAGATGAGGGTGTAAAATTGACGTTTTGACCTGCCAATTTGTTGTGGAATGTCCCAGCTGACAAACGGGCCGCCTGGTCCCGAAAACAACTGACAGAACAGCTGATATGCGGGCCTTGTGGGCCCCGAGAGCAGCTGACGTGCGGGCCGTGTGGGCCCCGAGAGCAGCTGACGTGCGGGCCGTGTGGGCCCCGAGAGCAGCTGACGTGCGGGCCGTGTGGGCCCCGAGAGCAGCTGACGTGCGGGCCGTGTGGGCCCCGAGAGCAGCTGACATGCGGGCCGTGTGGGCCCGAGAGCAGCTGACGTGCGGGCCGTGTGGGCCCCGAGAGCAGCTGACGTGCTGACTGCGTAAGTGGACTGACGCTCACACTCCTAACGGGCGCCGCACCACTCAGCTGCTAGGTCTGCGTGCCCTGAGGAGGCTCTGCCAGTCGTGTGCGCTGAACCGAAAGTCACGAGTCAGGCTGGGCGAGGTATATGTATATTGAAGATAACGAAATGCGTGTCCGACGAACGGTGGTTTTATTGAGCGGTGCTGCGGCAGACGCTGCGCAGTCGTTCAAGAGAGAGGCGAGAAGCGGGGTGGAAAATCTCGCGGAGATTTTCAATATCAGTACCGTAGAGGCCTTCGCGCTGTCAATTTTTAGGATATAGTCCAATCCTGCCGGTAAATTCTAAGGTTTAATCCATTCCAGTCTGCCGTTTGCAAAGGTTTTGGATCTGGTCCAACCCGATCCGTGTAGCACATTCCTCTGTTGGCTTTGTTGGGGTTTTTGTATGAATGCACTTCTATGTTTTAGTGTAACAAAACACGCAATTTCAGATAAAGCATAAAAGCCGTTCAGTTTTGCATCCTTTTTATATTCATTTTGCGCAGTACACCCATACATTTTAAAAATCACTTCTCGGCTTCACGATTTGGCTAAGCGAATGCATTGAAATCGATGGCTTAGCATTCATGTATGGGTATGGCACAAACATCCTTCATCTACAATTCCAGATTCCCGCACTGCGATTCACACCGGTTCTATCAAGCATTATTGAACAGGCATTGTAATGGTCCGCTTCGATTTTTACTTGAGTTTAAGCATTTTTGGCAACAACTTTGAAAATAGCCAAGCTGAGACAGATGGGGTGGGAATTCTTTAAATTCGTTATTTTACCATGTAATAATAATCAAAGGCTCTTCTCGGGTATGACCGTCGTCGAACACCGCTTCCCTTAAAGAACGCCGTGCGCCACTGTTGGAACGCAGCAGGTGTGCAAGCAGGCCGTAGCCAAAGGTTAAGTTCTGGTGAGGCCGATTGTAAGCGACTCAATAAAATGTAAAGACAAAAGGAAAAACGCTAATTTGGTTAAAACGCGATTATATAGACATTGTTTTTCACAGATCAGGCGCTATTGTTATGGAAAGAAAGATCGCATGAATAAAGTTTCCGTCAGCAACGCCAGAGGCGTCAGTGTTAATCAAGCCTGGGATGAATTTATGACGTGTGCTCGTGCCAGAGACGCTTCTGTCGTGCCGGCTACACGTTCACAAATGGAAGGGAATGACCCTCACCAAATAAGTCATGCTGACGGAATTTCTCTCGTGCCAGTGCTTCAATGCTCCATTACGACTATGCATTGAGACATGAGTGCATCCATAAATGTGAACGGAATGCAGCAGGTCAGCCAAGGTTGGTTTTCGGCGGGTCGGTTACCTGCCGAGCCGAGCCAGTGGCTGGCCGCAAGGGTTGGCCGTGCGAGGCTGGAGCTGTTAAAACATGCATTCCCGTGGACTCGAACCACGAATCGGAATGCGCATAAATCCGCTTCGCTAACCGTTCGGCCACGATGACAGATTCGTGAAACGCCAAATGTGTACGTAGGTTTTAATTGAGTTGTATTTTCTTGTCACGTTGAATTTTCCGTGTGGTTAGAACTTCCACGTAATACTTCATCCTTGTGGGAAATGCCATATGTAACGGGAAAGATCGTTAAATCGGTGAAAAACAATCAAAATGTGGAGAGTAAAACAACTACTTGTTTCCTGTAGGGATATGTGATTGTTATGATCTCTGATGGTCATTTGTAATTAAACATGGTAGTTGCATGCTACCCAAACAACGCTGTGCTGGTATGTCTGGCAAGCCCGTGGGAAATCTCTTAAGGCCTGGCAGGCCTTAGGAATCTACCGGGGCCCTGAGGAATCGGCTTTGTTTTGCGGATTTGGGGATTACTGTAAATTAACTCGATGATGAAAGGGGAGTACACCACCCGTTCCACATCCAATAGTTAAAAACGGATTTTGGATTCTGCAGAAGCCTTCAGGCAGGAGCTGATAGCCAAATTGGCGAGCCGGCTAGGCGCCATGCCGGGGTCAGATATTCGACAACCCGAAGACTGTCCAGCCGCAACCAGACCTGGTTCAGCATTTGGCAGCATGCACCTTTTGCCTGTCTTGGTGGAGCAGGCTATCTGCATGTTATAAATGGCAAGCCATCGCCTTCCATAGCGTGCGCCAATAGTGTAGTTTCGCAAAACAAGCTGGAGACTGAGCACGGAAAAATGACGAAACCTACCGCCAGGATGCGCAAACAAATGGATGTCACTTTGGATTTGGCCCACTTTCTTCTCAGAGCTGAGAGGGGGCTGCCCCCTCCCCTCCGCCAACGGAATAGGGAACTGTATTCCTACCATGTACACCTGCACAGACTATCATGGCACCTCTTAATGCTGTGAAAACGGGTTGTATCACAGAAGTAACGAGCTCTTTGCTTTGGAACAAATGTCGTGTTGTACGGTTCAAACGTGGCATGATACAGATTTCGAGTCAGCTGTGCCCGTCCTCCCTTTTAGGATGAGAGGCAGGCTATGCCATATAGCTTCAGCAGCTGAGAGTGTCGTAAACTTTCATTGTACGTTTTGAGTACGTCGTCATCGGTCTGAATCCGCGGGGCTTTACGACGTTAACATCCGATCCAATCCTTGCCCTCTCCGTTGACGATCTTCAGGTCCGGCCCAATCCAATCCGTGGATGAGTCCGTGGATAAATCCGTAACGCGCCGCTTTACCGATGGTTGAAGTAGTCTGTTTGCGGCGCCTGTCGGCCCTTCCCAACAGCCGTGCCAGCGCGCTGTTTGCCGGCCGCCGCTCTTGCCGCCGGCCGTCGGCGCCGCGTGACAAAGACGGCGCGCCGTGGTCGGCGGATGGCCTCGGACAGCACCGGCCGGCCGCCGCGCGGCTCGGCCGAGACGTCACACTCACTCAGCCTCCGTCTCTCGCAGTACGGCGATGTGTACAACTTCCCGCAAGCGACGTTCGACAAGGTGCTGTCGAAGGAGGGTGTTGAGAGCGACGAGGAGGAAGATGCCGAGGATGAGGAGGAGGAAGAGCCGGAGCTGGAAGAGGAGTTGGAGCGCGAGTTTGTCGCCGACTTCGATGAGAGTGACGCCGAGGACATTGAGGTAGGCTGGTGCGATGGTGACGATGCATGGTGTACATTGTGTGCATGTTGTGTGGAGTTAGTGTGTTGGAGGTGTCGCCTTCTGTACAGTGGATTCACATGGATTAGACGCCGAAATGTGGTGACAGCTGGACGCTATATTAGTTGTCATCGTTGTCAACAGGATGCCGTATCAGTTGTCACCGTTGTCAGCTGGACGCCGTATTCGTTGTCACCGTTGTCAACTGGATCCGCATCAGTTGCCACCGTTGTCAGTCGGACGCCGTGTTAGTTGTCACCGTTGTCAACTGGACGCCGCATTCGTTGTCATCGTTGTCAGCTGGACGCTTGTGTAGTTCATGTAGTATTCCGGGACTGTTATTTGGTTTTGCCGCGCTTCTCCCTCTCTATCTCTCTCCTTTTGTTCATCTCCGAATGTTCGCAAGAGACGGACACGGTGCTCCGCCATTATGTAGCTCAGAACTGACCCTCTCGGACTGAATGGCACCGAACCGGTCCTTTCTTTCAAGCTGCTCTTTACGTGTTGACATTGGTATTTGAATGCTCGCAAAGAAGACGTGGCAGAACGGCCCGCGTGAACTCGGCAGGCTCTGGTCTCGGGTCCCACCAGGGTCTCGTCGCCTCCGGCCGTAACGGCTCCCCTGTGCTGATTTGATCTTGTTTGCGTGCGGCACGCGGGAGGCAGGATCCGAGCGCCAGTTGGGTTCCAGTCGTATCAAAGCGGCTCCTTTCCCCCCTGACTGGGACTGAAGGCCTTGACAAGCAAGACAGCCGCGTATGACATCGACTGACGTTAAAGTGTCCTCGACACGGCCGCCGCCGCGTCCTCGGAAATGCGCCGCCTATTTCGGGAACGCCTGAAGGTCAGAGGTCGAGTGTGACCGTCGCGGTCCCCGTAGTTCGGACTTAGAGCCCAGCTCCGTTCACCCGAACCACCTGGAATGACCCTTAAGCGCTGTCATGCGATGGGCTAGGCCTCGGCCCGGCCTGCTGGCGTTCTATGTCGGACGGAAGGTGGAGCCGTCGCCGTGCTGAAGTTAAGCGGCGAGTTTGGCGCGGCGCCAGCGCGCGAGTTGCTCGCTCCCCGGGGGCGACCGCTGGTGCTGCCGGGGCACTCCTCGCCAGGAACTGCTCCCCTGCCGGAGTTGAGACGCCCGCCGATGCGGCCGGGGCACTCCTCGCCAGCAACTGCTGCCTTGCCGGGGCCGGGACGTCCGCCAGTGCGGATGGAGATCGGGGTGTCCGGGGTGCGCTGATCTCCGCGCCAGGGTGGAGATCGGTGCACCTTGTCACAGGCCGGACTTGGATCCACACCGTCGTAGCTCGTTTCTCTGGGTCAAACGCGCCGTGGACGCGACGCTAAATTATACCGTGAATCACCTGCTTAGCTTTGCAGTAAACGGGTCATCATTTAGTGGGATCCGCTGAACGCAAGACACATATGAATGGAAAACAGTACGCGTTTTCGCTTATCTATTATGTAATTTATTCGATTCTGCGCTGCTAGTTTGCGTGCGTACGCGCGTCGGAGGGGCCGAGCGGCGGCGTCCTCTGTTGTCCTCTGAACGGTGTCGATGGCAGCGCTCTGCGCCGCGCGTCGTGTCGACACTAACCGGATCGGCTGGCAAGTTATCGCGCTCTGATGAGCCGAGCCTCGGCGCCGGCTGACACGGCCTGTCGGAGTCGAGCGGCGCGGATCTGGGGATCCGGACCCGCCGCGGACCGGGCCGGGTCGCGCCGGATTGGCGCCGGACCCAGCCGAGGCGCCGGCCGACACTCGTAGCTGCGGGGCGCTGATTGCAAATCAGGCCGGTGCCAGCGTGTTTGTCTGAGAAGTTTGGCCGTGCGCTCGTGTCTCCGGGATGGAGGTGCCTGGCTTGTTTTCGTCAGTGCTGCCGGCTAGCGACTGCGGCTTTGCTGATGATGAATTGTTTCCGTCCCGCCTGCGCGTGAATATCGGTGTGCTGCTGGGTTATTGGTCACGCCCGCCTCGCGGCTCTTTTTGTCTTGCCCAGTTTTGTGATATTCTCGCTAGCTTCTCAGCAGCAATATCAAGACATATGTTGGCTCTTTATTTTCCAGCGTTGTAAAATTGACGGTTTCGGAAAACTGGTTGCCGTGTAATGTTTATCGTATTGGCGTGGTGCACTGGCGCGCCGCATATGTGAGCACACGGTTTCGTGTGTGAAGCCGTCTTGAAAATTCCCTGGCGAGCCTTGGCTTGTATTTGCACGAAGGAGAACCAAGCCAAGAGAGAGCCGGCCGGGCCGCACTCATCGTACCCCATCTCATCTAGTTTATGGGTGGACGAGCCATCGGTCGACCTCCTTCCTTTATCGCGTGGCCTGGCAGTGGCCGTCGGCCTCGGATGGGGCGGCGCGGCGCGGCGCTGGCGGCCGCTCTCGCCGCCGCCAGCCGAGCGGCGCGTCCGCGTCCAACCGCGGCGATTGACGACGTCCGGGCGGCGCCTCGTCAACCGTCCGCTGGACCGAGCCGGACCGGGAGCGGCCCGGCCCGGCCCGGCCCGGCCCGGCTCGGCTCGGCACGGCAGGCCGTGTCGGCCGCCAGGCGCGGCGTGGGCCGGCCGCACGGCACGGCACGCCCAGCCAAAGGCACGCGGCCCACACTCTCCCGCCGGGCACGCGGTGCGCAGACATGAACCGAGTGGTGGCTGGGCAGCATGAGGGAACGGGAGGCCCGCGGTGGCCGCCGTGCCCCGCCGCCCGTCGGCGCTCGCCGCGCGTCGCGGCCTTGACCCGCTGCCGGCGGGCGAGGCGGCGCGATCCTCGGCCGACGCATTAATGCGCGGCGACGAGCTGCGCGTCGAACATCGGCGCTGCCGCCGGCGCCCTCCCTCATCAATCACTGGCCACGACAGGGGGGGCGGGGGGGGGGGCACCCGGTCGGCGACGCTCCCGGCGCGCTGTCTTCACCGGGCCCGGAACACCCAGCTCTGTTTGTGTTTGCTGTTTGTTGACGGAAGGCGCGACTCGCTCGCTGCTATCGCCGAAGTGTTGACGTAGCGCTGCTCCGCGGCTGTGGACTCAGGGAAGTGAAACATTTTGTTTACGCGGCTTCGTTTGGATGTAAACTTAGCGAATTTCGGGGAAAATGTGGGGCGCTGTCGTGGCTCGCCGCAGGGCGGTTCGTTGTGTCTTATACAATACAGAGCCGCTGCCGTGGCTTGCCTCGTGACGGGACGCTGTGGCTCGGCTGTGCTTAGTACAGAGACGCTGCCGTGGCTTGCTTCGGAGCGGGACGCTGTGTCTAATACAGAGCCGCTGCCGTGGCTTGCTTCGGAGCGGGACGCTGTGTCTAATACAGAGCCGCTGCCGTGGCTTGCCTCGTGGCGGGACGCTGTGGCTCGGCTGTGTTTAGTACAGAGACGCTGCGGTGGCTTGCTTCGGAGCGGGACGCTGTGTCTAATACAGAGCCGCTGCCGTGGCTTGCTTCGGAGCGGGACGCTGTGTCTAATACAGAACCGCTGCCGTGGCTGGCCTCGGATGGGGCGCTGTAGCGCCGGCGGTGTCTAATACAGAGCCGCTGCCGTGGCTTGCTTCGGATGGGGACGCCGTGTCTTATACAGCGCCGCTGTCGTGGCTGGCCTTGGGTGGGGACGCTGTGTCTAATACAGAGCCGCTGCCATAGCCTGCCTCGGGTGGAGACGCTGTGGCACCGGCGGTGTCTAATGAAGAGCCGCTGCCGTGGCTTGCTTCGGATGGGGACGCCGTGTCTTACACAGTGCCGCTGTCGTGGCTTGCCTTGGATGGGGACGCTGTGTCTTATACAGACCCGCTGCCGTAGCTTGCCTCGGATGGAGGCGCTGTAGCACCGGCGGTGTCTAATACAGAGCCGCTGCCGTGGCTTGCCTCGGGTGGGGGCGCTGTGGCGCCGGCGGTGTCTAATACAGAGCCGCTGCCGTGGCTGACGTCGGGCGGGACGCTGTGGCACCGGCTGTGTGTAATGCAGCGCCGCTGCCGTGCCTTGCCTCCGCAGTGCAGAGTCTAATGTGTCTAATGCAGAGCCTCGCGGGCATGCAGCATGGTCCGCCGGTACATTCACTCGTCAGTGGAGACTGAAGCGGTGCTGCTCAGCGGTAAAGTCGGTCAGCCCATGCCGGCGCCGATGGTTGGTGACCGGGACGAGCTGTCTCTGAAGCAGCGCAGGGCGGCTGCGCCGGTCGGGCCCGCTCCGCCGCTGGAGCCGTCCCTGAACCGGAAAGGGCGGCCGCGCCGGTCGGGCCCGCTCTGCCGCTGGGGCTGTTCCTGAAGCTGCACAGGGCGGCCGCGCCGGTCGGGCCCGCTCTGCCGCTGGGGCTGTCTCTGAAGCCGCACAGGGCGGCCGCGCCGGTCGGGCCCACTCTGCCGCTGGGGCTGTCTCTGAAGCTGCACAGGGCGGCTGCGCCGGTCGGGCCCGCTCTGCCGCTGGGGCCGTCCCTGAAGCTGCACGGGGCGGCCGCGCCGGTCGGGCCCGCTCTGCCGCTGGGACCGTCGTGGCCCAGTCGGTGACCAGTTTCGCGGCTGGGCGGGCCGGGCTGCGACAGCGCCGATGATGCATTGGCCTCATCTCATCGCCAGCGCAGCCATCGGTCGTCGGCTCATCTGCTTGAAACGTCCTCGATCTGATCTGGGACGGCTCCCGAAGCCGAGCGGCTGGAGCGGGCGACGGGAGCGGGCCGCGCCGCGCGCCGCTGGTGCGGAGCGCGGGCCGGCGCCGGCTCTGGCCCCCCGGCGCGCTGCAGTTCCAGTCGCGGCGGCCGAGAGCTGCCTATCACGACAAGTCCGCCGTATAAAACGTTCATCTCCTATTCAACCTGTATTTATCCTGTCCTGTGTCAGCCTCCAAGGCCGTGCTGCCCTGCTACATCTCTGGTGGTCCCGCCCAATTGGGCCCACCGGTGTCTGTCAGCTAATTGGTTTAGTGCAGCCAGACCTCTTTCTGCGGCTCTGGTGTTTGTATGGTCTGCGCTGTCATATGGCGGCGCGCGGACCAGCACGGCGT